TGCTTTCTTCAATAAGTAAACTTTTTGAAAAAATAATTTTGAATAGAATGATGCTTCACATCAATACGAACTCAATTTTTGCAGATGAGCAGTTTGGATTTCGCCATGGGCATTCAACTACTCATCAACTCTTGAGAGTTACCAATTTAATTCGTTCAAACAAATCTGAAGGCCACTCAACTGGAGTTGCTCTTCTAGACATAGAAAAAGCATTCGACAGTGTTTGGCATGAAGGTTTGATTGCTAAATTGAAAAAGTTTAATTTTCCACTTTACATTATGAAATTAGTTCAAAATTATTTAACTGACAGAACTCTGCAGGTAAATTATCAAAATTCCAAATCTAATCGACTACCTGTTAGAGCAGGAGTTCCTCAGGGTAGCATTCTTGGGCCTATATTGTATAACATTTTCACTTCGGACCTCCCTGATTTGCCTCAGGGTTGCCACAAATCTTTGTTCGCTGATGACACAGGCATTTCCGCTAAAGGAAGAAGTCTTCGTGTTATTTGCAGCAGACTTCAGAAAAGTTTAGATATTTTCTCTTCTTATTTACAAAAATGGAAGATTTCTCCCAACGCTTCCAAAACTCAACTTATAATATTTCCACATAAGCCTAGGGCTTCCTTTTTGAAACCTAGTAGTAGTCACATAGTCACTATGAACGGAGTTCCAATTTCCTGGTCAAACCAAGTGAAATATCTTGGATTAGTTCTTGACCAAAAATTAACTTTTAAAGATCACATTGAGGGCATTCAAGCCAAATGTAACAAATATATAAAATGTTTGTATCCTCTTATAAACAGGAAATCCAAACTTTGCCTGACGAATAAACTTCTAATATTTAAACAAGTTTTTAGACCGGCCATGCTTTACGCTGTGCCAATATGGTCTAGTTGTTGCACTACCAGGAAAAAAGCACTTCAAAGGATTCAGAACAAAATTCTGAAGATGATTTTGAAGTTGCCTCCCTGGTACAGTACTACCGAAGTACATAGAATTTCGAATGTTGAGACTTTAGCACAAATGTCCAACAAAATAATTAATAATTTCCGGCAAAAATCGTTACAATCCTCAATTGCAACGATTAATTCCCTTTATACTTAGATAAGATTTAGTTTTAGTTATTTAGTTTTAAGCTATCAATTGTTATACTGACATGCAGGTTTAAAAAACCTGTTTAAAATACTGAATTGCCAAGACAGGAACAATGTAAAAACACTTAGATATATATCATAACAATTAAGGCTGGTAAGTTACTGTAGTAACTGGAGCACCTAGGTTAAAAATGAAATGTAATTTATTTTGAATTTGGAACAAATAAAGAGTTAAAAAAAAAAAAAAAAAAAAAAAAAAAAAAAGGGTTATGTTTAATTTCTTTATATTTGCAACGATGATGATTTCCCATAGTGACACATATCACCTTCTTAATGCTTCAGTATACCTCAAACGATTAATTCTTGGTTGTTAATAGAACTTCCTTGATGCAATCGGCTGCTTCATGCAGACTGAGCAATTCTGATTATAGTATCAGATTTGTTCTGTATACAGAGGAACTGGGAGGGCTTATTAGAAACTTCTCACCAATAAAGTAATGACCTTCTAGTAAATTTTGCATATCATTTTATTAATATTTTTTGTTACAGTCAATTAGCATTAGCATACAATACAAGAGATTTAATATCACTTGCTCGGTTTTGCGTAAAATAATCAATATGTATATTGCTTGTAATTATCTTTGAATTTTTTTTTTGTCATCTCAAAATTTTTCTAGTTTGGTTAGAAGTTTCGAAGCTAACACATGTCCACAGGCCTAATAGAAAGATATACAGACAAAGCGTATCATGAAGAATAGTTGCATGCAGGGTTGCTTCCACTCACTTTCTATAGATGAGTGATTTTCGGAGTTTTGAATTCGTTAGATGTTGTAATGGAGGTTTGTGTTATTGGATGCGGGAGGAGATTGGAAGGCGGGTGTTTGACGCATAGAGCCTGTCAATTTCGTTTTCAGAGTGTCGCAGTCAGCGGTTTTATGATTCGTGAGCGCTCGTGATTCGTAGAATCGTTGATTGTGACTGCCAGTGGATTTGGCGGGTTTTGTGTGTCGGACGCTTGCTTTTTGGCCTTTTCTTGTGTCTAACATGTGCAGAGTATCATTATAGCGTCTAATGGTTTTGAGATTCCTGGTTGCGTGAAATATACTTGTGAGAATATCTTTTTGAGATTTTAGTAGTCACGTTTTGTTTGTAGTTTATATGTTATTTCTTTCATGTAATTATCGTAAATAATAGTTATTCAATAATAGATAATTCATCCATATATTCAATAATAAATTTACGAATGACTATAATTTGGATACCTAACAATTGGACAGAATCACTAGCAAGAGTAGGTTGTGTTCGCCTTCGAAAATATCGATTCGTTCTTCAGGGTTGTAGTTTTGGTTTTCATCAGTGGCCCGGCTCTGATTGTGAACGATTTAGGTAGTATTTTTAGGTAACTATTTAGCTTTTAGTACAACTTTACTACTACGAATCCACAAAAGACATTAAATTGGAGGCGGATTCTGGTACGGAATTACAGGCTGCTATTCTGAGCAACTTATCTTCATAAAATTAAAAATTACATTTAGGTATTAATTAGCAAATATGAATAGTAGTTAACTTTAACATAATTTTGATAAAACAATCATTTCATCCAGTTCACTTTAAAACAAACAAGTATGAAAGGAGATTGCTTAGAATAAAGATAAAAGTAATAAGCGCAATACTAAACGACATTAAATTTGAATCTGATACGGTAGGCCATATAACAGAGTCGATAGCCATTGCAAATCAACCATCTCTACCTGCTTATTTTCCTAACTTTCACTATTATTGCTGTTACTCTGACTATCCCCTATGTTCAACAGCTTTCCTTACTATCCGGTATCGTAAACAGGATTCATTTGACCCCTGTGGTTATTATTCTGTGATGCCAAATCTATACCTCTACCCTCCTCTACCCTGGTGCAGTATGGACAGCGATTTTTCGCTGGTGACTTGGCCCTATGACCCCCTTCTGTGCTTGAAAATGAAAAAAATGAAAATGAAAAACTCAGACCGTCAATTCTTCTAACTCCTAACAGAATATGATGAAAGTTCCAATAGTTTAAGGAAGTTGAAATTAATTTATTCCAAAATTAAGATTTAAACCTCGTGATAAACATTGATTGCTTTATTAGCTCTATACGGTGTAAACGTATATTGATTTATAGCAATTATGCCGAATACAATGAACCATGTGCCATAAATATAATATACTAGCTTAAGTGCCCGGCTTGGCCCTAGATTTGAAATATTACTGTATGTGTATCCAGATTTCCATGCTCGGTAATGCCGACCTGTTTGTATGAACATGCGTATCCTGCACTGTGCTTTTTGACACTAACTAGAGGGCGTTTGTTGTTCCATTTTCTTCTGTTGCTGGGAGAGAGAAAGGGAGGGGTCAAAACCCGAACATCCAGATAGTGTCAAAAAGCACAGTGAAGGATACATTTATTCATACAAACAGGCCGCTATTACCGAGCATGAAAAGCTGTGTGTATATTGGAGCTTTGTAAAACCGTATCAAACCATTTTTTAACAATTCCTCCGACTGACATTGTTAGATCAGCTGGCAGCAAAAGATTGTAAACAAACTAATACTGCATATGCGTGCTTTACTGTGAGAAAAAGGCTATAGAAAGATGGTCGCTGCTTAGGTTGCCGAGAATACGCAAATTACCTCTGAGATATTTTGAGCAATCAAAGTCTATTTGATGTGCATTTAAAATAATTGATGACAATTTGTGTACGATTGCGCATTTTTTAGAAAATTCCTTCAGAAAATACTGTATTTTTTCAAATTTCGTGTGATATATATATTTTTAGTACTCCAATAATAGCATCGATCTGGAAAAGATTGGCTTGATCAGTACCGGTCGGGGGAAAATAATAAAAGCATAGACAAACAGATGTAACACTGACAATTTGTTCATTGAACACGTATTTAACGGTCAATTTAAATGTTTTTAGTTGGTAGTACCGCCACCTGTGGCGCGCATAGTCAATAATCCTTGTGTTTGACGTTTACACGCTCTGCCATCTGTTCAGCGTACTACCCATCAAATTATATTCAGCAGATGGCGGTAGTGCTTTAGCGACGATGCGAAAATATTCAATGTGTTATGTCTGTTTGTTTGTGATAAAAGACTTCTTAGAAGATATAACTCGTATCAACTTTTATGTCTTTGGCAACTTTTCATAAAATTTTACGTTCTACAACTTTGCCGAAGACAGCAAACCTCTATCTTGCGAATTAAAAAAGTTTGTATCACTGCGCCATCTTTGCGGCCAAAACTTGAACCGCTGTTATCCACCAAATTGTAGTCCTAATTAATCCAAGAAACTTTACTCAAGACGTCAACTCAATTGGATGCGATCCCAGAAAGTTATTTTTTTTTCCTGCTAAATTTAATTCCTGGCCCACTGTGCATTGACCATATGCATTTCAATTTGGGATGACAATCATTTTACAGAGATCATTACGTATTTCAACTGACGTCCCGTTCGCTTTTCGTATCAATAAAAGGAGCATCATCCGGTCATCCGGTTGAAGCTAACATTCGAAAAAGCGTTTTCGATGTTTTGATTTGAGGTTTCATTCGTACAGAGGATGTTGTTTTGGTACAGTGTATGTAAATTTAAAAAACAAAACTACCCCCGACAACAGGTACATTACACTCCAAGCATAAATTATGGTACCTATTTTAAACTGATGTGAACTACATCTACCTATAGACTGGCGCAGTCGTTTGAAACGAGTTCTCTCTAATTCTTCTAACTGTAAACGCTCAACGAGACACCATCCGCTGAATACTTCAATATGAATACATTAACGTATACTGCAGTACGTGGCAAACGTTGCTGTCTTTTTGATATACGCTACTAACACCACGAACCTGTCTTCCCTTTCCCTCAGGTTGAAGTCGAATCCCTCCGGAAGGATCTCCAGGAAAAGCAAGACCTCCTCTACCAGGCGGCCAAAGCGATGGAAATGATGGAGGAAGGCCAACGCAAGGTTGAGCATCACCACCGTGAAGTGATTTCCGACATGGAACACCGGATAGAGATGCTCCAGCAGGAGATCAAACAGGTGGAAGCGGCCGATCGTCAACATCAGCAGCATGGCAATCAGACGCGAACTGGCTTCAACGACACAAATTTGCTGGATTTCCTAGAGAAGATGGAACACCGCGAGGTTAACGTGATGGACAAGGTGCAAACGATGGAGCTGGAGAACGCTATCCGGCAGTTCCGTGTTCAAAACGATGATCTCTCCCTGAGGATCGACGATCTGCACAAACAGCTTGAGGAGAAAGAGCACAAGATAAATGCGCTGGAGCTAGAGCTGGGCGAAATGCGATTCGAGTGCGCCGAAATGAGGGATAAATTGGACAAAAACGACAGATCCAGCATGGATGCGGAGGTAAGTCGAGACAGTTTGAATGAGCAAAATTCTAGTAATAAGGTCAATTTCTATCAGCAAATGAGCAAGTTTCTCCAGAATGCCATGAACGCAAAAGAAGAGCGTCTGTTGCATCTAAGTTTGGAAGTTAAGGTTCTGAAGTCTTTGAATGACCATTTGAACGAACGCAACCGCCGACTCGAAGAGGACAACAGCAAACAGCTTCAAATTATTAACGACCAAACGCGTTTGGTTCATGAGATGAGTGTAATACTTCCGCTTTCATTTGTTTTCCATCCTACACAATTGTTTAATTTAACTTTCAAAAACATGTAGGACATTATTGCTACCAAGAATTCTTCCCAGTATGTTAGCAACCAGTATTCCTCCAAATTCAGACAAGAACGACATAAACTGTTGGCCGAAATCGAGCACCTGAAAGTGCAAGCTTCGTCGGGACATAGCAAGACCCGACCCAAAAGTATGCCGGCTTCGGAAATCGGAATTAAATTGAGCAGCAAACAAAATCTACAATTAGACTGCTTCCCTTCGCCCAAGGCGCCTCAAGGGGGAAACAGTGCCTCCGATTATTGGAGCTTAAAGTTAAGCAAGTCCCAAACATACGTTGGAATGAGACATTCCTCGAGTCCCATTAATACCAAAAGTAGCAAAATATCCTACCTAAACCGGAAGAAGTCGGGATCCGAGCCGGAGATTTCAGTGCTTATCAAGAAAAACGAACCTTCACCGGGTTGCAGTTCTTCCAAAGATTGGCCACTGTCAAGCAAACCTAGCAGAAACCAGTATTTCGACCGAGTTAAGGTTGTTCTAGTTAAATAAGTACCTCTAAAGTCGATCGTTGCCATTTAAAAAGTGCTTCTTTTGCAGGATTTGATCGCCGGCATAACGAAAATCAGAAACTGACTCATCCTAATGCTGCTTAATACATTTATTTTAAAATTTAAAAAAAAAACTGCTCATTTTGTTCGAAAAAATTTCACCGTTAAAAAAAAGTCAAGTAAAAAATCGCAAATAAGAAAATGTGCCTCCCTATTGCCCCCGCAGGTTACGCGTCTGAAGAAGGACCTATTCGGGGCAAAGTCGGAACTGGCGGACAAGCTGTGCCAGCTGGACGACACCGAAATCAAGCTGAAGGAAAAATCGACCGAGCTGTTCAAGACGGCCAAGATGGTGGAGAAGCTGGTGAAGACAATCACCGACCAGGAAAAGGAACTTTCCCAGCTGAAGCGAAACTCGGTAAGTTGATTTTTTTTTGTTTTTGTTCGAATTTCTCAATTCAACCTACGTTTTTTTTTCGTATGAGTAAACTGATTTCCGTTTGTCAGAGTCCCGAAATGAAACCCCAAGAACATCCTGTAAAGAAGGTAGATTTTAGTTTATTGGGAAGCACGCGTTATGCTTTAGATTGCGCACAACTCAGTTCTTTGGCTTTAGCAAATAATTTTCCCGAAATAACATGATTGATTTTCCCGTCTTTCTATTACTAGGTTCCACCGAAACCTTCCAAACCTGCTCTGAGCCTATTTGGCCGGCGATAAAAGCGTTTCTATTTCGTCATTCAATGCATCCGTTGCATGATTGCATCCTGTTATCGTTTTCAGTTTCTTGTTAATTTTTATCAGTTAATCTTTTGAATATGCTAAATACCAAAAAAAAAAAATAGTTCTAAGAAAAAGAAGGCGCGCGATCACAGCGATCTACAGTGAGTAACTGATGTTGAATCATATTTGTTGTAAATGTGCAGCTTTTCCTTCGGTGATGGGCATTAGGGTATTTCATTGGCACAAATCTCACAATTTCAACGCGGTTGCGTTGCTTCTAGTTGGGGTGGAATGGTTTTGGAATTTCATAAAATTTGTGATGGTAAGAGTTCAGAAAAAATTTAGAATGGATCTTAGAATTTCGTATCAATTGGTAATTTTCTTCCTTGTCGAAAACATTATACCAAGAGCAAATTTTCATTATGTCGTAAGTAACATTCGCACCAATCCGAGAAAAATTAAGTTTTGTTTTGATGACCGAAAAGTTATTCCTATTGCCAATTAAACACATATAATCTCATAGTGATAGCAATGTTTAACATATTTAGCAGGGTCTTAATCATACAAAGGCAAATCGCTAGCTTGCTAAAAAATACTGGTTTTTGAGTCAAAAGTTATTATACGTCGTTTGGTGGGCCCCTATTGTTACTTGAGTCAAAGTGTATTTACCAGGATATTCGGGAGAATTATCAATTACGTCTCCTTAGCAGGGCTGGTAGCAGGTCACTTTTTAGTGACTTGGTCACTATTTTCAAGCCAGTCACTAAAAAGTTACTTTTTTCATCAAAAGGTCACTAAAGTCACTATTCCTTAAAATTTAGACACTAAAGTCACTTTTTTACTACCAATGTTGATAGTAAAAAAAAAATACTTTAAAAACTTACATCAAATCACATATTTATTTGGTAACAAATGTGTGTTAGAAATATTAATTAAAAATCCGTGTGAATTCTGATTTGTTTTGTTTGATCTCGAATTGGTTTCAGACCTATCACCAAATTCTAGTCAGAAAAGCCTGACTATTTTCCTTCGAGATCTTGCATGTTTTCCAAGCTTAAAATGTAACAAATAGTCTAGGAAGGTGTTCAAGCTCTCGAAATATGAATAATCTCTGACACCCGGTAGCTTTAGCATTTGTCCAAACACCGTGAAAAAATCATGTCACAGAATCAGGAGTTCCTTTTTAAGTCCATTAAATTGTATTGTATTTTTTCGTAAAAATAATTCGGTAAAATTTCCAGGTCCAGGTTTTAGAAAAACAAAATATGTCCATGATAATAACATATTGTATTTTTCAGAAGCTTAAATACTTGTTAAAGGACTGTTAAGTTACATTATATAGGTACAAAATATACAAAATTATGTCGGTTATTGAAATTTTCTCAATTTGGTTGTCTTAGAGATCTCGAATTTTTAAGAAAAAAAAAATGGCTCAAAACCAAGGGGTAGGTCACTCCGCACACCAACCTTGGGTCATCTTTTTTGTCAGTGTGCCACAGGTGTGCCAATTTTGCCGGTCATAGAGCAAGTTGTGATTGTTTGTAACATACCCATCCCGGGAACCCGGTATTTCTGACACCTTGAATGTTTTGGTTTGAAATCGCAGGGATAAATCGGATTGAGGATGACACGGAAAGAAGCGGGTGTGCGAAATTTTGGTGTTTTGGGTTCATAGGATAATAAAAGTCCTGTGTTTTAGGGTTTTATAATTCCCTCAAAGGCAGATTAGAAACCTAGCCTTTCGTGATGTGAAAAGCAACGGTATATTAGCGGCCGGAAAGAGTTGGAACCGGTGGGGAACATAAATCAAAATCGACTATAGAGGATGATGAATAGATTTCTGTAGTTTGTTTGATGTGCATTGCATCATTATTCGAATTAAGGGTATTAATGGAGTCTGATTAACTTCCTCTTTCTCTTGAGCCACTCTAGAACCTGCATTTCGTATTTAGATCTATAAGTTAACTGCTGGTCTGAGTTCCTCTGATATGTTCAATTAGAGGATGTTACTGAATATACAGTCAAACAGCACGTAATGTTGTGAACAACTTCAATGACAGTTATCCAGCAGTGCTCCCATTTTATTTAAAATGTACCAATACCTACGAAATTGAGCCGAAGATGTGCCGATGGATGTTACGAAGTTGTGCCGAATTTAATTTCGGCACAATGTGTTGAGTGACTTACCCCTTGTCCAAAATTCTAAAATGCATCCTTAAATCCCTAATTTTTCACGATCGAGATTTTTAATCCTAGATGCATTCAAGTTTTGCTTTATGTCCGTGATATTTCCATCTGTGATAATTTTCTTCGTTCCATACTAATGAGATATTTTTTTGAACTGCGATCTAGAAAAGTTGTCTAGGTCCAAGTCTAGGTCCCACAGTTATGAATTTGTTTCTATGTGTTACAGAAGATTCTCTTCTTGGAAGGAATGGAGACGACCAGTGCGCTACAGCGGCTTCAAAGAGGAGAACGATTTTTTTAATTAAAATACTAATCGCTAATCGCATGGCTTCTTCTACATCCTAGATATTTAAAATTGACTGCCCTAAAATTATCAAAATTTGTCTAAATCTTTGAAATTTAACTTTTTTCTCTTTGCCTCAATTTTGTGATCTATGTAATCATCAATGTGTGATTTGGATCTTATATTAACTTAGTAGATAGTTTGTTTAAAAAATAGCTAATTCAATTTATACTCATTTTTTGAGGACAATGGGATCCTTAAACATGAAAAATGCGCATGATGGGTTTGTGAGTTTATAAAATTTCTCGAAGTGGAATCGCAATCAACGGAAGATTGGAACCATATCTTTCCGATCAATAAATGTCACTATTGGTCACTTTTTTATTGCTTAAAAGTCACTATTTGGTCACTATTTTCGTTATTATAGTCACTAAAGTCACTACTATTATATCACATACTCACTACCAGCACTGCCTTAGGTGCAGCCCATTCATCATTTTAGGACCACCGAAATCATCTTAGCAACAAACAGTTCGATTTATTCACTTTAATAATGAGAAAGCGAAACGACGAACGTACACTTTTCACGTGTTTCTCAGCGCTGTTACTTAAGTCAAACGGCATCTCCATAGAAATCGGGTGACTTAAGTAACATCGAAAACTATTTTGATCGGAAGGTGATTACGTCAAAAAGCAATTTGACTGGTAAATAAATTTAAAAATGGGAGGTGATCCTATATTCGGACAGTATATAGTGTAATAGCAGGAGAATCGATTGACACTGATAGCTCGACTTTGTTTACTTTTGTTACTTTCGACGTAATGAAAATTTGCTCTTGATACGTACTTTTTATTTCTCCATTAGGGTGGTCCCTTTCGTGGTAGGGTGTTCCCAAAAATCAGCATTTGACATTAATTATAATCGATTTTCGTGATTTGCTCGGTCTCGGGACCAATGCCATTACAGGGTGTCGACTACCTGAAAAACAGGGAATACCAGGAAATTCATTTTTGGACCTGGAAAATCAGGGTAACTCAGGGAATTTATTTTAAATTCAGCGAAATATATCTTTATAATAGAAACTTATTAATAAGTAGACTTACTTCGCTAGTTTCAAGTAACTGAATTACTCGGTGTTGCTTGAGAATGATTTTTTCGATGATTTTGAGCCTATCCTAATTCCTAAATTCAGCGGAATCATTTTTGCGTCGATTCAACTCTCATTCCAACGCAAATTTTGCACAGATCCGCTAATGCACGCTCAGATCTGAATACACCATTACACGTTGTGAATAGTCTCGCAATACCATAGGAGCTTGTAAAAGCAATATCAATATATCATCGTCGACAATCGTTGTTGTTATTCACATCGTCGTGATTCTGTTAAATTTGATGATTTATTATCACACGGGCTATCGTTCTTCGTTTTTCCCGTTCTGTAGACTTGCAAAATTTTACCGGTTGTTAGTGGAAAGTGCAGTTCGTTGCGATAATCGTCTATTTGGATTTGCGATTTCCGTCTATATGTGAAAACAGTGAAAAATTTATCTAATCGGACATCTTGTAGTGTTTACTGTTGTGTTATTGTCGATATTAGACGCTCTGCAGAATCCAACTCCTCCTTGCGTATTAGAGCATCTCCACCGCTGTTTCTAAATTAGATATGGAAACTGAGTCAGCATGACTTCCGCCAGTGACCAATGCGCTAAACCAGCTAAAGGCGATGAAGAATCCGTCTGCTGCATGGCTTTTTGCGACAGGAGGATTCACCTGAAATACGGCGACACAAAGTTGAACAAGGCTTTTCTTGTTTTGGATGTGCAACGAGTGCGCGAAGCTGATGAAATGTGCCCGTTTCAAAACTGCTGTTTCGTCAGGAAACAGGAAATCGCACACGCTGAGCTTAGGAAGGAAATGACTAAGCAAGGACAGCAGATCGCACAGCTGTCGAAACGAATCGCATTGGCAACTCCAACACACTTAAGTTCCGGCGATCTTATGCGTCAACCGCCATTAAAGCGGCGCCGTGATGAAGGCTCGCTCATCAGCAAACCACTTGTTGGTGGTACTAAAGCAGTAACGGATGACAATGTCTTTACTGTCCCTGAACCCACTGAGCCGTTTTTCGCTGTACCTTTCTCGTATACATCCTAGCGTGAAATCGGAATCAATCGAGAAGCTGGTCAAAGGTTGTGTACAGTGCGATGATCCGATTAAGGTTGTG